GTGTTTGTTCGAGCCACGCACAGGGACCTGGGGTGGATTTAACCCAGGGCCAAGGTGTGGTAAATGTGCAGGAGCTCCCAGATAGAGGGCCTTGGAAGCCATGACTGAAAGCCATCCAGCCTCCAGGGGCTCGGGGTGGGCTGAGGGTTGCCCCACTCCTGTGCATGGGTTTCTTGTTAACTCAGAGCCGGCCCCGCTTGGTCACATGGTGCTGCTGGGCCCCCTCCCTGCACGGCTGCTGGCAGAGCTGAACCAGTCCAGTGACCAGGGAGGCTGGGCGAGCTGTGCCAAGCAGGGAGAACCAGGAGCAATAGCTGGATGCTGTAGGGAGGGGCCACTGCTTTCTGGGAGGTGAGGCTGAGGGGGCAGCCTGGGGACGGGGTGACTTGAGCTGTTCTGGGAGTGGCTGAACCTTTAAACGGTGACCCCCAATCAGCAGTTACATGTCGCCTCTGGGCACCAGGTTCTAGACCAGGCAGTTCTCTGCATGATGTCTGTTGTAAAAGTGTTCATAAGTTCTTTCAGCCTGTTTATCTGCTTTGGCTGCGCTCTTCCTGTCTGGCCACTTTGTAGTAGGTTCTTGGAACAGTAGTTCTGAGTTGTCTTTCCATGAGGAGTTGTGCTGGACTAGATGCAGGAGCTGCTGTTGGTGTTGATCTGTAATTCAGAGGAGCAAGGAATGGATCTTCCTGCTGTCAGATGTTTTTGGCTGTCTGCGCAGCTCTCTCAGCCTCTCCATTCGCTTGTGAGTAAGGTGGGCTGCCAGTGATATGAGCAAAATCATATTTCATTCAGACTGACTTAAATTCTGCTGCAGTGAATTGTGGGACATTGTCCATCACTAGTTGTTCTGGATACAGAAATGAGCAAACGTACACTTCAGTTTCTCAATAACACTGCAACATGTTATGTCTTTCAAGTACATTATTTCTATATAGCTGGAAAAATAGTCCACAATGACCTGGCAATGATGTCCTCTGAATTCACAAAAATCTGCAGCTAGTCTTTCCCAGTTCTCTCTCTTGTAGAGGTGGTTGTTCACTGATTCAGCATTGCCTCTTA